AGACCATCACAGACGCGTTTTGAGCTCCAGAGTCGCTAAACAGGACTCCAACCGAACGTGTGACCCCACCGACGGACTCCTCGTTCGGAGAGGAATCCATTGGTGGGGTCACACGTTTGGTTCGAGTCCCATTTAGCGACCCTCGGGCTCAAAACCCGTCCGGAATTTTGACCGCCCACTGTGCAACTGTGCGTCTGTGGCACAACTCTGGATCTTTCCTGGTCCTGCCCCCTTTCGCCATGTGCGCCCCCCCCCTCCCCGCCCCCTCTACCCCCCCTCGCCCGCAGCGTGCCCGATTGTCTGTGAAATGAAGGATATTGTTCCGATGAATTACGTGCGTGCGCATCCAGCGAAATGTCGTTTGCACTCGGAACGGAAAAGTACAAAGCGCAGCTTCCCCCCTGTTTTTGCCTGGGCCTTTTGGGTATTGACTGCGTGCGCGTGCGTCGCAGTCAGCCACGTGAAGAGGGGGGGGGGCGCCCCTTTTGGACATTTTCGTCTGCCTTTTCTATTCAGTACTTCCCCCGGCCCCCACCACGTTGCCGCCCTGCAGACTGATTCCGAGAGTCGTTTTCGTCGCGCTGTCTCTCTCGCACCCTACGGAGACACCGTGTGGGAGCGAGGGAGACAGAGCGACGAAAACGACTCTCGGAATCAGTGTGCTGCCTGCGAGAGAGACAGGGCGTCGGTATTGTGCGCCGCGTACTCGATGCATCACCGTGACTCAGTGGCCTATGGCTGCCTATGGCGGCGAAGGGGGAGTTTTGAACAGTGGAGGCGCGGGCCCGAGTGCATAATGCATGCAGCGCGCCGCACCCTCGAAGAAAAGGTGAGAAGTATGTTGACCCCGAAAAAAACGGAGAGAAATTGGTTATAGTGCCGGTGCACTGTGGGCCGGAGGACCGGTGGAGGCGGTCAAAATCCCTGGCGCGTTTTGAGCTTCCTGAGTCGGTAAATGGGACTCGAACCGAACGTGTGACCCCACCAATGGATTCCTCGTTCAGAGAGCAATCCATTGGTGGGGTCACACGTTCGGTTCGAGTCCTCTTTAGCGACTCTGGAGCTCAAAACGCGTCTGGAGTTTCGGCCGCCTCCGCCGGTCTTCTGGCCCACTGTGCAGTGTGGCCTACACAGCGAGTTACACGGCGAGACAGAGCGGCCGCTTGTGGGCTTGACTGGCACTGGCTCCGCGCGGCGTTTGGTGTTTGGTGCGTGAGTGGCGATGGAGTGCCCCGGGCTGGCTGGCCGCTCAGCCGGCAAGCTGGCCCCGAACTACACTGCTTTCCTCGCTCTGTGTCTCTCGCACCCGTACGGGACGCCCCATGAGTGCGAGAGAGACAGAGCAGCGCTCGGAGTCAGTCTGCTGGCAGCGGCGCGTCCACACAGGGCCGCGATTGACTGCCTTTCAAACAGGATATTGGACTCGGCGAGGTGCTCCCCATGTTCCCAAAACTCCCCGTACTCCCCTTACCCCTTACCACCCCCCCAGCCGCTCGCCACCAAGAGCCGCGGCTGTGAAGTTACGCGACGCGCGCTTTGGAAAACGCCCCCGCTGTTTTGTTTGGTTCCCTCCCACCGCCTACCCCTTTTCCCATCCATTTCATGTTTTGAAATTGTCATTTTTCGTGACCTTTTCACCGGTGACTTTTCGATTCCGACGACGAAAGGAGCTGGCCCGCTTCTTGTACTCACTGTACGCGCCTAGCCTGAAAAACACTCAATCACTAAGATTCTACCTCGGAAAACGTCTGTGCACTGTAAAAATTTGCTGTGACCTTTAAAATAGTTACGTAATTTTGGTCAGTGGCAGTCCCCCCTTTGCGACGACGGGTGCGTGGGTGGCCGACTGCCGCTGATTAGTCGCAGCTCCTGTTCGACTAAACTCCGAGCGCAAAAAAATATTTTAGAGTAATAAAAATAACACGTTAAACGAAGGGGGTTAAGCCCTAAACGGCGGGGGCGGTATTTGGGACTCTTTACTACTTGGGTGTGTCGGAAGAAGAGGGAAAGGGGGGGGGGCAGTTTGAGTGGCGCTGCGGTTGGATGGTTTTAACAACTCGACTTTCCGAAGGGAAACGACACTGTAAAGACGCGGCGCGCCGCCCCGATCGGGGAAGAGGGTTTATTTTGCCCGGTTTACGTGCGGTCGAGTCGAGGATCGAGTTCGAGAATTGAAGCGGAGGGGTCGAACCACTGCGCACAGTGGGCCAGAAGACCGGCACAGGGGGCCGAAACTGCAAACGCGTTTTGAGCTCCAGAGTCGCTAAGCAGGACTCGAATCGAACGTGAGACCCCACCAATGGGTTCCTCGTTCGGAGAGCAATCCATTGGTGGGGTCACACGTTCGGTTCGGGTCCGGAAAAAGAATGGTCACCCCCGCTTCCCCTCGGCGCGTGTCCACTGCCAGGATTTGCTGTTCCAGAGGTGTCCCGTGAATGTCGCCGAACCCCTAGAGCATTGCCATTGCCGAGGGTGTGGCAGCCCCGCCCCAGCCCTGCCGGCCACCTGATGATCCATCACGATCTGCCCCCCGCTGTCGTCGCGCTCTCTCTGTCTCTCTCGTACTCGTGGGGCGTCCCCTAGCGTCCCCTGGGGCTCGTCGGGGTGCGAGAGAGACGCACAGTGGGCCAGAAGACCGATGGATGCGGTCAAAACTTGAGACGCGTTTTGAGCTCTAGAGTCGCTAAACAGACCTCGAAACGAACGTGTGACCCCATCAAAGGATTCCTCGTTCGGAGAGCAATCCATTGGTGGGGTCACACGTTCGGTTCGAGTCCCATTTACTGGAGCTCAAAACGCGTCCGGGATTTTGGCCGCCTCCACCGGTCTTCTGGCCCACTGTGTGTTGCTGGCTCGGAAGTGATTACGGATGGCTGTTTTGGCACCCCCAGACTGGCGGTGTAAACAGGGAACGGACAGGGCGGCTGACGCGGTGCTGAAATACCCCTGCAGATAAAACAAGCGGCCGGACCGCCGGCCGGTCCGGCGGTCAGCGTGGTGGGCGGCGCGCATTCATCTTGGTTTACGGGCCGCCTCTGGCCGACGGGCGTCGCTCTGTCTCTCTCGCACCCCCAGGAGCCGACGGGACACCCCGTGAGTGCGAGAGAGACAGAGCGACGGCGGCTGGACTGGGGTGGCTGTAATGGATACACCCCGTGAGTCATGGTCATGCTGGCGTGCGATATTCAAATGCGTCGTGAGTCTTAATTATTTGCAGCGTGCATTCAGCTGGGCCGGAGGCGGCCATAACCATAGACGCGTTTTGATCTCCAGACTCGCTAAACAGGACTCGAACCTAGCGTGTGACCCCACCAATGGATTCCTCTTTCGCAGAGCAATCCATTGGTGGCGTCACACGTTCGGTTCGAGTCCTGTTTAGCGACTCTGGAGCTCAAACGCGTCGAGAGTTTTGGCCGCCTCCACCGGTCTTTGGCCCACTGTGCGTTGGTTCCTGATCAGCAGAGTGCACGCATTATGGCGGAGGTGGCTACAGTGTGCGTGCGACGCCGTGCGTTGATGTAAGGGTTCCGGGGGCCGAAAGGGGCGGGGGAGGGGGCGTCACTCGATAGTGCTCTGGCCGCCCCCATCGGCCCGTCGCACAGTGGGCCGGAAGACTGTTGGCGGCGGCAAAAACTCTAGACGCGTTTTGAGCTCCAGAGTCGCGAAGTGGGACTCGAACCGAACGTGTGACCCCACCAATGGATTGCTCTCCGAACGAGGAATCCATTGGTGGGGTCACACGTTCGACTCGAGTCCTGTTTAGTGACTCTGGAGCTCAAAACGCGTCTAGAGTTTCTGCCGCCTCCACCGGTCTTCTGGCCCACTGTGCGTCGGCCTGCTCGACTAGAACGCCCTCTCGCCCCTCTCGCCACAGGTCCGGCAAGTGGGGTGTGCATCCCGGCGCACTCTCTCTGTCGGCTTGTTGTGGGCTTTGGCGTGGCTGCTCGGCTCCGCTTTGGCCATCAGCCTTTTAATAAACCTCCTCCCCTCGCCTCGTGTGCCTAGCCTGGCCGGGACTCGCTCGAGTTGGAAAAAGAAAAAGACTTTCTTACAGTGGCGGCTCTCTATGCGCTCGCGCTGCAGTGTAGGCACCGCTTCCGCAATCGCCCCTTTCTTTATGCACCCCGCTTCCCGATTTAGTCCTCCACCTCCTCCTGCCCCTCCCGAGCGCACCCTTAACACCTTTTAACTGTTTGTTTTGTGCCTTTATTGGTCCTCCTCTTTCGTCTCGATGTGTGGAAACAGTCGACTAGTTTCATGAGCGGCGCGCTTTTTTCGCGTTTCCTCCACGGCTTTCTTTTTTTTTCGTCCCCGCGTTTTCCGTTTGAATGGGGCTCGGGTTTTATACAGCCCGGGGCGCTCTCTCAGTTAATGTGCTCCGGTATGGAAGAGGGGGAAGTCCTCGGGGGGAATCCCCAGAGGGCGATCGTAACGCCGCTGGTCTCGAGTCGCACCTATAGCTGCCGCCGTTCTGAGGGCGGTTGTGCCTGCCGAGCTTTGTAGTGGAAACGTGGGGAAACTGCCAAGTCTTATCCTTCAAGCACACCTCCTTTAAAAATACTTATCAAAAAGTTTAAATGTGTTTTTAAAATTACCTCGTTCTTTTTTATTGAAAAAATTTATGAGGCTGGTGGGAACCTGCAATGCTGATTGCTGATTTTTTTCTGTTGTTTGAGTTTTGAAAAAAGAAAAAATTGATGAGGCTGGTGTTTGAACCTGCAATGCTGATTGCTAGTTTATTTTTTTTTTTGTTTGAGTTTTGAAAAAAGAAAAAATTGATGAGGCTGGTGTTTGAACCTGCGATGCTGATTGCTAGTTTATTTTTTTTTTTGTTTGAGTTTTGAAAAAAGAAAAAATTGATGAGGCTGGTGTTTGAACCTGCAATGCTGATTGCTAGTTTATTTTTTTTTTGTTTGAGTTTTGAAAAAAGAAAAAATTGATGAGGCTGGTGTTTGAACCTGCGATGCTGGTTGCTGATGAGCCTTCTCCTCTGTCTGCAGGTGCTGGCTCGTGGTGGCGCTCGTGGCGCTGTTGGCCGCCTCCTCGGACTCGCAGCTGCCGCCCCCGGGGTCGCAGCCCTACGATGACCCCTTCTTCCAGCCGGCCGGCGTGCCGCCCCCGGGCGCGCCGCCCGGCGCCCTGCCGCCCCCGGGAGCGCTGCCGCCCCCGGGAGTGCTTCCGCCCCCGGGAGTGCTGCCCCCTGGAGGCCGGTCCCCCAACCTGCCGCCCTTCGACGTCAACTCCAACTTCATCCCCCGCGACAACAGCCTGGGCGGCGGCAACTGGGACGGCGATAACTGGTTCAACAACTGGCAGGGCAATGCCATCATCAGAGAAGCGTAAGTCCTTTGTTTGTTTTAGTGATAGCCATTACTCGATATATTTTTCTGTAGGAGTCGTTGTTATTGTCGTTCCTCAACATATTTTTCTATGTCATCGTGATTGCCTTTCCTAAATGTATTTTTCTATGTTTGTCGTTGTGATTGTCATTTCTCAACGTTGTGATTTTCATCCCTCCATGCATTTTCCTTTTCTACGGTGTACCTGAATGTTTTGTATTTGTTGTTTTGCAGCACCTACTTTGTTGTGGCCAGCAAGGTGGTGAGGCCTGGGCAGATCTACACGGTGGCAGTGACTGTGCTGCACGCTCCACTGCCCATCACTGTCAGAGCCTCCATCGCGAGGAACAGGGTCGAGTTGTCCACTGACAGCAAGGACGTCAAGGAGGGCATTCCAGAGAAGTTGATCATGAGGGTAAGTGGAGTTACCGTTCAACTTTGTCCGCTCTCTATGTTGCTTGTGCCTGCAATGCCTGACCACATATTTGTGCTCCCTCAGGTCCCACCAACAAGTGTTCCCGGTGACTACAAGCTGAGAGTGGAAGGTCTCTACGATGGAGTCCTTGGTGGCATAGCGTTTGTTAACGAAACCAAAGTTGTTTTCTCACAGAGGTCGATGACTATTTTTATTCAGACTGACAGACCAGTTTACATGCAAGGTCAAACAGGTAAGCCTTTCACATACTTCTATTGCCTTGATATTTGTAATTGGAATTTCAGGTTTCTTACTGTCTTTAACATGTTGTTTCAGTTCGTTTCCGTGCCATTCCAATTAATACTGAATTGCGACCTTTTGACGGAGCCATTGATGTGTACATGCTTGACCCTAATAGGCATATTATGAGGCGGTGGCTCTCTAGACAGGTACAGACATTTTTTTATCATGTCTTCAAGTTTGTGATGTTGTGATATAGAAAATTTATAATAACTATTGTTTTCTGCCTTTCTTTCTTCAGTCAAATCTTGGTACTGTCAGTTTAGATTACACACTGTCAGATCAGCCAGTATTCGGAGAATGGATTGTTCAAGTTATTGCTCAGGGTCAGGTTGAAGAACAAAAGTTCCTTGTAGAGGAATATTATCAAACAAGGTTTGAGGTACGTGCACTTGCTTTCTTTCAAGACTACTATTTTTCATATGCTCCTCAATTTTTTTGCTAATGTGATTATTTTCTTTTAGGTGAATGTGACAATGCCAGCATTTTTCTTTGATTCTGACCGTTTCATCCATGGAACTGTAATGGCCAACTACACCAGCGGTGGCCCAGTCAGTGGTAATCTAACACTGATGGCAGAAATACGTCCTAAACCAAGACCTGGATATCCGCCTCTTCCCCCTAGAACTGTCTTTTTCCATTTTGATGAATCGTATCCCTTTTGGTATCCAAGAGAAACCTTTGAGAACCGCTACAGGGGCCTGCCACACTTGAAATTCTTTTATGGAGTCTACCACTTCAGATATCCCATAGCAGAATTGCTGCCCTCCCAACTCACTGAAGAAGGGTTTGAGGTGACTGTGAAGGCAACTGTTGGAGAAAGATTCTTGAATGAGGTCATAGATGGGTACTCAACATCTCGAATTTACAAATCAAGACTAAAAGTAGCATTTATGGGAGGATCTCCACAAGTTTTCAAACCTCCTATGCCTTTTAAAGCCTATGTAAGCAATTATTATGAAATTCCAAATATGTGTTAAAATAAAACGCCATTAGATACTAATTAACTGTTTTTCTTAAATTTGCAGCTAGTTGTATCTTTCCATGATGGCTCTACTTTGTCCAAAGTGCGATTATTTGGAAGTGACCTACGCATTACAGCCACCATTGACATGTTCAATGGAGGGACCAGGCGCCTGGACCCCAGATCCATGCCCATTCAAGCTCAAGGGGATGGTGTTTGGGAACTGAAAATTGACTTGAAGTCTCAATTGGGTCTTGAGAAGAACAAAGACTTTGAATTATCAAACATCCGATCTATGAGGATACAAGCTACATATCTCTCTCAAGGTGATCGTGCCATCACTGAATTGTTGCTGCTTTCACATTATTCACCAATGCACCACCACATCAAAGTGTCCACCTCCACAAGCCATGCCAGGGTATAGTATATTTGAGACTTTTTCAAAATGCTTATTTATATAATGGCAACAAGTACTCACACAAAAATTTTTCTTTCAATATTTCAGGTTGGAGAGTACATTATTTTCCATGTCCAGAGTAATTATTTCATGGAAACGTTCAATTACCTTGTGATGTCAAAGGGAATCATTCTGTTGACTGGAGATGAAAATATGCAGAACTCCATTCGTACCTTTGCTGTGCCTTTGAGCGCCGAAATGGCACCTGCTGCAACTATTGTTGTATACCAAGTTGGACGATATGGCGATGTTGTAGCTGACAGCTTGACTTTCCCTGTCAATGGAATTTCTCGAAACAATGTATGTGTCTACCATGTGTGCATGTAGTATAATTAGTTACTGCATCAACGGTCTGCAGTGGCCTAACAGCAATAACAATAACAATATCTTAATAATTTTCTTTTTTTTTTAATTCCCAGTTTACAGTTTTCATTAACAATCGTAAAGCAAGGACAGGAGAGCGTGTTGAAGTGGCTATTTATGGTGAGCCTGGTGCATATGTTGGTTTATCTGGCATAGACAGGGCTTTCTACAGCATGCAAGCTGGCAATGAATTGTCATATTCCAAGGTAAGGTGTTTTGTATTGAGTAATAGCTACTTTTTGCTCATGGACTCCATGTTTATTAATATTCTTGTATTTTACACTCTCAGGTTATAGAGAAAATGTCCACATTTGATGAAAATACCAATGGCACACATGTTCACAGTTGGCTCTCTCATGAGGGTCTTCCTGATGACACAGTTTACTTCCCATCATCTACCTTTGGCATTGATGCTAATAGGACTTTCGAGTAAGATTTCTTTCGTAATTTTCTACATAGTCTTATCTTTTGTCTTCTTTTTAATGGTATCAATACTAATGATCTGTGCAATTACAGATACTTGGGACTTGTGGTGTTCACCGACATCATGGTGACTCGGCGCCCAGGGTTCTGCAATGCCACCCTTGGCTTTGGAGAGTGTCTTGATGGGCAGTGCTATCCGTTTTTCAAGAAGTGCGATGGCCAGTTGGATTGTCAGGACGGAACGGATGAGGCTGGTTGTCCTACTTACAATCGGACTGAAATTGGATTGTTCCGCAAGTACCGTTTTAGCAGAATTCAGAGACAGTATGAAAATGTCTGGCTGTACAAGGACATCAATATTGGTCCGCACGGCCGGTTCATATTTGACGTTGATGTACCTCATCGTCCGGCCCATTGGATGGTCTCTGCGTTTAGTATGAGTCCAACTTATGGCTTTGGCATGCTCTCTGCACCTTTAGAGGTAACATTTAACCCTACTATGGTGTTCAAAAGACTGTGAAATTTCTGTCATTTGATTAAAATGTGTCAATTTTTCTATTTTATTTTTCAGTATGTTGGTGTGCTTCCATTCTTCATAAATGTTGAAATGCCAACTGTGTGCCGTCAAGGTGAACAAATTGGTATCCGTGTCACTGTCTTCAACTATCTGACTCGCAATTTAGAAGCAACAGTTGTTCTTGCTGGGTCACGTGACTATAAGTTTGTTCATGTTGAAATGAATGGAATTGTATGTACTGATGTTTTTTTTGTGTTACGGAAAGTTATCTGATATGTATGAGCATAACTTCATATTTTTTGTTGTTTAATAGGTCCGTTCCTACAACCCTCGAACTTCATTTGGAGAGCATCAATTCTTCATTTTCATCAGAGCTCAGGATTCGGTTGTGGTTCATGTTCCCATTGTTCCAACGAAACTTGGAGACATTGAGGTCACTGTAATGGCATCTTCCTTGATTGGTAAAGACGTTGTTACCAGAAAGCTCCATGTCGAAGTAAGTGATCCTATTTTACTCATACGTGTAGTAACATTAGTGTGCATTACCAAATAAGTAAACATGCTATACCTATCTTTTTCTCGCCTCCAGGCTGATGGTCTACCACAATACCGTCACCAGTCCATTTTGTTGGATCTCAGCACTCGCTCTTATGTCTTCCAATACATGCATGTCAACATCACAGAGACTCCTATTATTCCTTATGAGGAGGATCGGTACTATATATTTGGTTCCAACAAGGCCACAGTGTCTGTTGTGGGTGACGTAGTGGGTCCCATTTTCCCCTCCATGCCTGTCAATGCGACATCTTTGATGAACCTTCCCATGGTAAGGAAATTTTGTTTCAGTACTCTTTGGGTAGAGCCCATAGTGTTCATATTGTTTCGAAATTATCGAAAGAATGGAGCAGAGGCTATAATATGAGTTTTTTAAATTTACAGGACAGTGCAGAACAATCAATTTTCAGTTTTGCTGCACATTTGTACACAACAATGTACATGCGTTACACCAATCAGCGCAATAGGCAACTTGAAAAGCAATCTTTCCATTTCATGAATATCTTGTATCAGCGTCAAATGTCGTTTATGAAATGGGACGGTTCTTTTGGACTTTTCCGTAGTGACTGGTAAGCTCAGTTTGCTTGTGCACATTTTGCTACTAATTGTTGCAGCAAATTCATTTAAACAATATTTTCTCTACAGGAACCAATCAGCGTCGAGTGTTTGGCTTACTGCCTATTCAGTGAGAGTGCTTCAAGAAGCCAGCTTTTACGAGTGGGAAAACTACATCTACATTGATCCTGAAATTATTTCGAAAGCTGTGTCTTGGATTCTTCAGCATCAAACTTACGATGGTGCATTTTATGAAGTGACCTGGCTTCCTGACCGTAAAGTTAATGATTCTCTGCATTGGCCTGATGATACTGTCACATCAAGGAATATATCTCTAACAGCTCATGTACTCATCACTTTGGAAACTGTAAAGGATCTCACAGGGGTAAGGATTATCATTCACCGATATTCCAACTTAATTTTCTTTTATTTGTTTATATGTTCCCTTTTTTATAAATTGTGTTTTATCTAATTTTTAATTTTAGGGTCTTGGTGGTAAGGTCGCACTTGCTCAAAGCAAAGCCATATCTTGGCTTGAGAGGAATATACAGTTGTTGGACCAGTTTGGAGAACCATATGAAGTAGCTATTGTTGCTTATGCCCTCATGTTGAGTAAGGCAGCCACTGCTGAAACTGCTTTTGGGATTCTTGCAAGGCACAAAAGAGAAACAGGTAAGAAAACTTGTGCTCCATCTTCTTAAATTTTACATTATGTTCCAGTGTAGTACTTACATGATGCTTCTTCTGTTTTATAGATGGACTATTTTATTGGGGTAAAGTTGAAGTGCCTGCTCCACCTCAGAAGCTAGAAAACCAGAAGCCCTTCTCCCTGCCGAGGTTGCCTTATGAGTACGATTCGAGTAACATAGAAACCACAGCATATGCCTTGCTGGTGTATGTGGCAAGGCAAGAACTCATGATGGACCGCATTGTGAAATGGCTCAATGCTCAACGATTGACTGACGGTGGGTGGGCATCCACCCAAGACACAGCCATGGCCATGAAAGCTCTTATAGAGTACACAAACCGTCAGCGCCTTCGTGATGTGACTCAGATAACTGTCACAGTGGAAGCTACGGCTTTGCCTGGTCAAACTAAGACCCTTCATGTCAATCCTAAAAATCTTGCCACTTTACAGAAAATTGAGGTATTTAGTCTCATATTTCTCTGGTACTTTTTTGGGTAACTTTTACCAATCGACGTTAGCTGTCAATGATTTGTGTTTTTTATTTCAGATTCCCGAAGCATGGGGAACCGTCAAAGTTCAAGCTAATGGTGCAGGTCATGCCATTCTGCAGATGACTGTGCAGTACAACGTAGATATTGTCAAGTTCCAGACTCAGCCTCCTGTCAGATCATTTGACCTTCACACCAGAGCCAATTTCCATGGCAGAAATCAGTCTCACATTTCATACACAAGTTGTCAGAGGTATGTAGAAATGGGTCTGCAATGTTTTCAGCTGTCACACGACTTTTCTATGGTGAAAAAACATGCTCTAACTCGTTTTCTTTGTCCAGGTGGACAAATTTCCAAGAATCTTCACGATCTGGAATGGCTGTGCTAGATGTTGCTATCCCAACTGGCTATATTATCCAGCAACAAAAGCTGGACTGGTACATACGCTCCAGACAAGTGCGCAACCTGCAGAGAGCGCGCTTTTTAGAGCGAAAGGTCCTCTTCTACTTTGACTATGTAAGTACCAAATACATGTAATAAACAATGCACTTGTATTGAACTAGGGGTCCTAGGTCAAGTCCAAATTATTGTGTGAATAGCAAAAAGTTAACTTTTCAAATATTTGTTTTACAGCTTGACACATATGACACGTGCATCAACTTCACAATTGAAAGATGGTACCCTGTTGCCAATATGTCACGGTACTTGCCTGTTAGAGTCTATGACTACTACTCCCCTGGTAAGCAAAGTATCAGTTGTCTTCAAATTGTGTAACTACGGTAATAATTTTCACCCATGGCTTGACACAATTGCTTTTTATTTTTCAGAACGCTTCAATGAAAGTATCTTTGACTCCTTGCCTACATATCTTCTCAATATTTGTGAAGTGTGCGGCAGCAGTCAGTGCCCATACTGCCCTATCTACAATATTGCAAACACGTTAGCTCAGCCAATGTTCTGGACTTTAGTGTTGCCTGTTGCCATATCTCTGTTCCATTTATTAAGGCCGAACACAATAGACGTATTTACTATACAGTGAAGGGAATTCCAAATTTGATTAGTATGTCAATCTTATTCATGATTCTCAGAGCTGGAATGCTAAAGCGCATTCCTAGTTTAAAAATCTCATTTTAATGTTAGAAAACCTGACACCAGTCTATTTATTGAACTACTGTTACAAGAATCTCGTTCCCTTATGTTCAATGTCTTTTAACTTCCTGTCTGAATCACCTTAAAACACTTTATTCCCTTCATTATTCTTAAAATTTGAAATGAGAGTAATTACTTATTGAACTTGTTTGCCAGTTCATCTAGGTTTGACTTGTCTTGGGTCAGCAAAACCCCCAAAGACTGAATTCTGATCAATTGTAAGAGTAAACATTCAAGTTAAATTGTTGATGGGTTTTAACTTAAATCAACAGTAGATTTAGTAAGTCTGTCTGGAGATATGTCCTCACCAGATTCCATCCATTCCTAATCATTTATTCTTTTTGTAAGGACCCACATTGTTTAGTTATTAGGTAAAGCTAAAAATCTCATATCAAACCAATTTTTGTACCGCATGTGATCTTGAATTCAGTCACAAGCTATAATAATCAAATTTGGAAGTGTTCTATGTTACTGTATTTAGAATTAAATTATTGACCAAATGAAGAGTTTATTGAAATTGTCATATCTTTTCTATGTATATTATTGAGTTGCCATGTTTTATTGTTTTGAATTGGATTTATTTTAATTTCCATCCGTCAATCAGACCTTCATTTTTTTACGAAGTGGTGTACTAAAGAGCATTGTCAAGTGTGAAGGACAATACTGTGCCGCTTTTGTGTTCATGCACTACTTTTGCCTAGAGTTACAATTGGAATGAATAAGGGTGTGTGCCGTAAATTTAATGTAATGGATTCAGTTCTATTTGATAATCTCCTCTTTCTTATCTTAGCCCGATAGTGCTTTGTTTTTATTATTAATGAAAGTTTTTAGTTAACTTTAGTGTGCTTGGAATCAAACTCTTCTTTTTTTTTCTTTTTTTTTAAAAAGAGAGTGCTGTGAAACATGAGTATGTAAGTGTGTATATTTTTCTGTGTAAGATACAGAGATGTAATGTTTATTACTGTTACATGAGATTTATGAAGTAGGAAGACCTTAGTGAGGAAGTCAAATGTTAATTGTATTTGTGGTCTGATGTAGAAGTCAATTCATGGTTCTTCCAAGTTCCATGGACAAATTTTTCTCCCATATCCTGCAGGATTATTTTATCACATTATTTTTGGAGGACTGTTGCAAAGTTTAGTTTTAGTCCCTAAATCAGGACAATCATCACTCAATAATTTCCTTCAAATTTTGTTCATCTAAATGCATTATGAACAATCTGTAAAAAGCAAAAAGATCTGTTTAAACTATTCAAAATCTTTTATCCCTCTCGCTCAATGATAGCGTTTTATAAAATTTTTAATACCTATTTGTTTTGAATGTTTTTACTCGAGCAACTTTGTGTTTGCTGCCTTTCAAGTGCCACACACAGTTTTTGAACAACTTTTGTACCTTTTAAGGAATCCCAACTTAATTCACATTTTTATACATTTGTATTTGTGTATAAAGCAGAAAACTCTTTGGAAAGTTCAATTAGTACTCTATTTGATGATATTTGTATAATTTTAGTAAAATTGCCTTGCTGTACACCTGGTCAAAAACTGATCACACAGCTAGAACATTGTAGCTGTGTTCTAATCGGTATTGCACTGACAAGAGATTTATCATGAAATTAATTCTGAAGTAGGGATTATACGGTGAATCTTAACTTTATATTTGCACCAGTCAAGACTCGAGGAATAGCAAGGTACCTAGGATCTCGAATGTATTTATGATAGCTAGCCTTTATGTTCTGTTTTTGTTTTGCTATTTCTGTTGTAATATTATCACGCCAAATGAGGGGTGAAGCTGTAATTGTTTCATGCTATGTGTACTGTAAGTCTTATCAGATTTTTATCATTCTTGTCATGAGCTCAAAATGTGATGTTATGTCTCTACTTCTGTAGACATGTTGGTCTTAGCAAACCAGTTTGATTAAACCTGACAATATTTCTTTTTCTTGATTTTAATTGAGGTTGTGCTAAGTAAGGGCTTCATGCTGCATTGATACTTGCAGTATTTACCAAACTTAAATTGAAGTTTGACTTTTTAAGGATTTTTGCAGCACAAGTGCGTTGTAGTCTGAATCATTAACCGTCCAATATAGATATTAGTTAATCTTTTGTTACCTTTTTTAGTTCTTTTATTCATAATTTACCAGTAGACTTGAATCTCCAAGGGGGATTCTATTCATTTCTCTACTTACCTGTGTCTGATTTTGAATCTCAATATATTTGTACAATTTAATATCCCTCTGCACGTGGTTATTGTAAATATTCTGGAGAGGTAGTTCATATGTGAAAACACTGAATCGGAAATAAATGTAATGACGAACTTTTCTTGAATGATTTATTCTAAACCCCCAGGAGGCGCCCTTCATTGGATGCTACCAAGTATAAGGATGACAATTATAACGACCAGCAGAACTGAGAAACAAATGATATTCATTACACAGAAGGGCCGCTTGAGAAAGTAATCCATGACCCCATCAGTCCAACTTCGAGACTTCTTCCCAGAATCAGCTCCCTCCTCTGAGCTTCTGTAACAGAAGCCAAAATCAAAAACAGTGTGATGCGGTAAGAATTTGCCAGTCCATGACAAAGTGACGACAAACCTATGTGGAACAGGTACAGTGATTTGGGACTGCGATGACGAAGAGAACATCCGACTGTCGCTTGAGTTGAGTTGCAGCGGGTTGAGGCTCACAGACATTCGAACTCGGCCCTGGAGTTTAAGACAACAAATTCATGGCGAAAATACACACCCAGTCACCCCCTATAAAAACAATTTTCAACATTTTAAATTTTTTTTTAAATTTCAGGGTTGCAGCACTTGGGGCTTACCGACGTGCGTCCCCGAGGAACGCCGGCCAGCGGCCAAGTCCCGGTGGCCACGCCCCCACTGGAAGCTGCGAACAGGTCGCCGTCGCGGCCCGAGCACACGTCGCCCGGCAGGCGGCTTAGGTCCAAGGACAGGTGCCCTGGTGAGGAAGAGACCGGTGGAGCGGCGGAACTCTAAACGCGTTTTGAGCTCCAGAGTCGCTAAACAGGACTCGAGCCGAGCGCGTGACCCCACCAATGGATTCCTCGTTCGGAGAGCAATCCATTGGTGGTCACACGTTCGGTTCGAGTCCTGTTTAGCGACTCTGGAGCTCAAAACGCGTCTGGAGTTTCGGCCGCCTCCACCGGTCTTCTGGCCCACTGACCCACGAGCCGCCTCGCGGCGCGGTGCGGCAGGTGGTGCAGCTGCAGGTGCAGGCGCGGCCGGTGCAGCCGACGGCCGCTGCGGTGCGGCGCGAGGACGCGCCTCTCCAGCGGGCTGTACAGCAGCGGCAGCTGCAGCTCCGCGCCTGCCGCGTCCCCCACACTGTGGCCCACACCACCCACCGCCAGCTGCGAGGCCAGGCGTGGCCAGCGGATCGGCGCGGAGCACACCGCGCCGGACTTGCAACCCCCCAGCCACCTGCCCGCAGACGAAGGAGAATTCGACCATGAGATCTCATGATTCAACGGGTCCTTTCTGTTTTCAGCGCAGAGTAAGTTCATTCCGACGACTCTCTAGAGATGAACAGTATCCTGATTGTTTGCGCCGCGGGAGAAAGATCCTAGCGGTCTGTGCTGTGCGACTCACTGTGGGCCAGAAGACCGGTGGAGGCGGACAAAACTCTAGACGCGTTTTGAGCTCCAGAGTCGCTAAACAGGACTCGAACCGAACGTGCGACCCCATCAATGGATTCCTCGTTCGGAGAGCAATCCATTGGTGGGGTCACTCGTTCGGCTCGAGTCCCATTTAGCGACTCTGGGGTTCAAAAACCGTCCGGGATTTCGGCCGCCTCCACCGGTCTTCTGGCCCACTGTGCCTCGGGTGAACCTACGCGCGCGCGACGAGCAGTGAGCTGCCGAGGTTAGGATCGCGTTCCGCGGGCTGTGCCATTGGCTGCGCCACTGGCAGGGCGGCCAGCGCCACGTCGTACAGGTGCTGCACGTTGACGTTCAGCACCAGGGGCCGCGCGGGCGGCGGCGACAGGTCCAGCGGCGGCGGCGGCGCGGGGTGCACCGGAAGCACGTCCACCCACAGGAGGATCTTGGCCTGCACGGCGAACAGAGAGCCAAGTAGCTATACGAGGTTCCGAATACGAGGGACTCTGTAGTCAATGCCAATCAACGATCCTGATCCAACCCGCCGCTGCCCGAACCCAACCCTCGACCCACTTCAACCCTCAGCACCTGAATCCTCTACACTGAAACCTTCGTCTTCTAAAGCCTCTCCACTCGAACCTCAGCAACAGCACACTGATTCCGTCGCTCTCTCTCTCTCTCGCACTCATCGGGTATAGGAGTGACGAAAACGACTCTCGGAATCGGTATGCTGCAGCGCAACCCCAAGGCCTACACTGTAAGAAGCCTACCTTGGACGGCAGCAAAGGCCTCGTCTCGACGCAGGCCCGCAGCAGGTGGCGGCCCCCGGGCACCAGGTCGTGCCAGCGCAGCAGCGCTCGCAGGGCGGAGTCCTCGCGCCGCTCGCCTGCCGCACAGTGGGCCAGAAGACCGGTGGAGGCGGCCAAAACTCTCGACGCGTTTTGAGCTCCAGAGTCGCTAAATGGGACTCGAACCGAACGTGTGACCCCACCAATGGATTCCACGTTCAAGGAGGAATCCATTGGTGGGGTCACCCGTTCAGTTCGAGTCCCATTTAGCGACTCTGGAGCTCAAAACGCGCCTCGAGTTTTGGCCGCCCCCACCGGTCTTCTCCACTGTGCAGAGCTGCGCCTACCCGTCGGGCTGTGCGCGGGCGCGACCACGGTGGTCCCCGCCACCGTCACCGCGTCCCCGAGGCCGCCCCAGGACGGCGGCGGCAGCCCCGCCTCGCGGCACAGGGCCTCCAGGATGGCCGACGGCGAGGCGGAGTCCCTCCACCGCTGCCACCCGTACCTAACGCGCAACCGTGGCAGCGAAACCAGCGATTTGAGCGGAGCTGCGTCCCCGGCGGGCCCGCCGCAGCTACCCCTCGCCGCAGTCCGGAGGGAAGGCCCGCGGCGGCCCTCGCTGCGCGGGGTAGTGCCGGACGCGCCGCGCCGCGGCGATACCCCGCGTTGCCCGGGGCAGCACAGTGGGCCAGAAGACCGGCGGCCAAAACTCCACACGCGTTTTGAGCTCCAGAGTCGCTAAACAGGACTCGAACCGAACGTGTGACCCCACCAATGGATTGCTCTCCGAACGAGGAATCCATTGGTGGGGTCACACGTTCGGTTCGAGTCCTGCTTAGCGACTCTGGAGCTCAAAACGCGCCGGGGTTTGACCGCCTCCACCGGTCTTCTGGCACACTGTGGATTTACCGGCAGTATTCCTCTGGCAGCCCCACGCCGCAGCGGTGCCCGGACAGCAGCCTGTTCTCGATGTCGACGCTCGTCCGCCCCAGCAGGCCATCGTCGCCGTCCTCGACGTCCGCACGGCGCACCGAGACCGACAGCCGCCAGTCCTCGGGGAGACGGCCCCGCAGCTCTAGCACCCTGTCGGGGACAGGACCCTCATGAAATTGAACAACCTGCACTACAAACCTAACTGTTTACAAAGTACCCCCTCACTTACAAACGCATATACTAGGCTTGGCGCCATGCTGAGCGTGTGTACTTAGTGAACAGTTAGACTTGCAGTGTACGCGCCGTATCGGAGCATTCTTTTCCCACTTACTGGCCGAAGCAGGTCTTGGAGCCGCCCTCCACGGCGAACTGTGGGCCACCCACGGTCTCCCCTCCACTCAGGCTCGCCTCCAAGAAGGCCCTCCTGCCGGAGCCGCCCTGCCTGCGCTGCCGGCACGGAAACCGCGATGCACTCCGCGCTAAGTAACGGCGAGAGAGAGAGAGAGAGAGAAGAGAGAGAGAGAGAGAGAGAGAGGGAGAGAGAGAAGAAAGAAAGTTGCAAAAAACCACCACTTTTCTTTCGCATACCCTTGTTTCGGTTGGAGACGTTCCCCGCGCTCGGCGCTCACTTCGCTGGACCAGCTAAGGCTGGAGAAAGAGGTGGAGCTCGCTCGCTTGGACGACGAGCCCCCGGTGCTCAGCCACAGGTCGGACGCCTGGGCAACACCAACACCACAGTGGGCCAGAAGACCGGTGGTGGCGGTCGAAATCCCGGACGCGTATTGAGCTCCAGATTCGCTAAAAGTGACTCGAACCGAACGTGTGACCCCACCAATGGATTGCTCTCCGAACGAGGAATCCATTGATGAGGTCACACGTTCGGTTCGAGTCCTGCTTAGCGACTCTGGAGCTCAAAACGCGTCTAGAGGTTTGGGCACCGGCAAGTGACGAAAAGTTTTTACAGTGTGGTGCCGTGCCGGACCCACCTGCACGACGTAGACGCGGACCAGCACGTCTCTGGGCGCGTCGCACGGCACGCCCTTCAGCAGCGGCATCTCCGGGGCGCCCTTGATGCCCTTGGCGCTCGCCTTGGCGACGGGCACCGCTGCCAGCGCCACCTGGATGCAAGGTACTGACTTTTCATTCATTCATCCATCCATCCATTCATTCATCCATTCATTCATTCATTCATTCATTCATTCATTCATTCATCATTCATTCATTCATTCATTCATTCATTCATTCATTGCGGACTGGCCATTCATTCATTCTTTGCGTAATGCCCATTCATTCGTTCATTGCGGAATGCCTATTCATTCATTCATTCATCCATTCATTCATTCATTCATTGCGGACTGATCAGTCATTCATTCATTCATTCATTCATTCATTGCGGACTGATCATTCATTCATCATTCCTTCATCATCATTCATTCATCATCATTCATTCATTGCGGACTGATCATTCATTCAATATATTTCAGTTTGTGTTTCACAGTGCCCCACCTTGAGGTACAGGACGTCGCCCTGGAGGTTGGCGGCGCTGCAGGGCCGCAGAGGGATGACGCTGAGGACGTCCTGGCACGCCGAGTACATCGGGGAGTCCTCCAGGACGGCGTCGAGGACGCGGACCCGGCCGCTCTCGAAGGCCCACCACCACGGTGAGTCGGCCTCGCGCACCTCCTGCGCACAGTGGGCCAGAAGACCGGTGGAGTCGGCCAAAATCCCGGACGCGTTTTGAGCTCCAGAGTCGCTAACCAGGACTCGAACCGAACGTGTGACCCCACCAATGGACTCCTCGTTCGCAGAGCAATCCATTGGTGGGGTCACACGTTCGGTTCGAGTCCCATTTAGCGACTCTGGAGCTGAAAACGCGTCCGGGATTTTGACCGCCTCCACCGGTCTTCTGGCCCACTGTGTCCCGCCTGCACTTCGCACCACTCCGGGGCACTTGGCGGCACTCAGGGCTGAGTTGTGTCG